GCCTGTCCCCGCCCCGCCTGCCCCTGCCCCTGCCCCTGCCCCTGCTCCCGCTTCGGCTGTCTCGAGAATCCCCACGGCCCCTCGTCTTGGACGGGCGCACCTTGCCCCTGCTCCTCCTGCTCCTGCTCCTGCTCCTGCTCCTGCTCCTGCTCCTGCTCCTATTAGGGCTCCGGCGCCGCCGGCGCCGCGACTGGCGCTCTCGGCTTCGCGAGTCGGCCTCCCTCCTCCTCTTCCTCCATCGCCCCCGGCTGCGGCTTCGGTCCTTGTCGCTATCACTGTTGTCGTCGTTGGCACTGCCTGATGTCCGCACCGTTGACGCACTCCCGCTCCTGCTCTTCCTCCGCTCAGATACTGCCTTACCCCCCTCGTCGCATCCTTCCGGCTTCTCCAACTTGCCCGAAGCCGCCATGCTCTTGCGCATGTCCGAACCATCGCCGCCGCCATCGCCGCCGTCACCGCCGTCTTCTCCGCGCGGAAGGCCGTTCGTGGGTACCGGCGCGGCGGCAGCAGCAGCAGCACTCCCCTGGGAGCTAGCGGAAGGGTCCGGGGCGGCCAACCTCTGCGCGATCATGGCAGCCGCAGCCGCAGCCATGGCGGACGGGGCGGTCGGAGCACACGCTGATGCCGCGAGAGCGTTGAGCTGCGCGGCGATAGACCCTGCCGGAGGCGCTTCTAGCTTCGCAACGACACCCATACCGGCGGCGGCCGGCGGCGGCCTCTGTGGCCCCGCCTTGGCGGCAGTCTTCTTGGCCGCCACGCGCACCGACCGAGGCTTCAGACCCGCCGCCGCCGCCGCCGCGCTGCCTTTCGCCCCAACGCTTAGCGCCAGGCGCGCGGTGACGGCCGCCGCAGCGGCGGCCGCTTTCGTTACCGGTCCCGCCTCCTTCTGCTTCCCCGCTCCCGACTCCTCGGCCTCCGGCAGAAGAACGCCCAGGTAGAGATCGTTGGGATCTGGGTCTTGAGGAAGCGGCGGACCCGGCTGACTCTCGCCGGTGACGACGGTGCCCTTCGCGTCCGTGCCCTGGACGTCATCGGCCCCACACAACGACGACGGCTTCTGCTTGTCAGTCTTCGTCGTCGGCTTCGAGCTTCCTCTTCCTTCGGCGGAGGTCGACGGCTTCGTCGAGACCGGCACCTCCTTCGTCTTGGCGAGGACGATCTTCCTACCTCGTCCCTCACGGGTCCCTACTGAGGCAGAGTCTCCCTTCTTCTCCTTCTTCTCCTTCTTTTCGATGGGCGCCGTTCCGTCCTGGTCGTCCTCTCCTTTCGTGACCCGCCCGGGGGCCGGCGACGGCGGCGCGACCTTGCCGCCCGTCGACGAGTCGAGCTCCTTCTCCTTGGTGTTGCTGCGCGGTTTCCCGTCCGCGTGCTCCCCCTTGCCCGCTGCACCCGCCACTAGGCCGGTCTTAGACTTACCCTTCGGGCCCGCGCCCTTCTTCTTCAGCGTAGCAGGACTTCCCTCCTCCTCCAAGAGGGCGCCGTTGCCCCCCCGCTTAAGCGCCTCCTTCGGGTTCGCAGAGAAACCTTCGCCGCTTCGGCCCCGTTGGTTCCAGGCCAATGCCCTCTTGTTCCCGGGGGTGCCGGTCTTCTCCGAAACCGGACCGGGGGCACCGCGGCCGGCGCTCTTCGTGACCTGGAGCGGGGCAGCGGGAGCGGCAGTAGGAGCACCGCTCGCGGTCTTGTCAACCGCGGTCGAACCGGCCTCCTCGTTGCCCTTGAGGTCGGGGGTCTCGTTGGACGCCGATGCCGACGGTGGCACACCCGTAGTCTTTATCTTCGTCTTGTTCTTCTTAGACGATGTCGTCGCCGCCGCAGCCGCCGTCCCACTCTTGGCGGGGACGCCCTTCGCGGCTACCCGGACCGCGCCGTCCGACTTGTCATCCTCGCCGGCCTTGGGCTTGAGGTTCAGCTTTTGCTTCGGCTTAGGCTTCGAATCCGCCCGCTTCTCGACGCCTCCTGCGTTGTTGCCGCTCTTCTTTTCTCCGGCGACAAGGCCCTCCTTCGAAGGCTTCTTCCCCTTTTGCGCCAACGACTTCTTCTTCTTCTCTCCTGACGACGAAAGCGACAATAATCCGGCACTCCCGGAGGCGCCAGGCGACACACGACGCTCCCCGTCGACCTCAATTGCCATACCTCCCCCACCGGTCTTGGCTGCAACTACCTTGGCCTTCTTCTTCCCTCCCTGCCGCTGTGACTCCTCGTCGCCGCCCACAGATGCCTTCTCGCGCTTCCGCTTCGCATCCTTTGCGACCGCGACCCCGTCCTCCTTTGATTCCGCGGCCTTTGCAGCAGCCGCAGCAGCAGCCGCAGCAGCAGCAGCCGCGGCCGCTTCTCGCAACGCCGCCGCCTCCGCCTCGATGACAGCGGTGGGCAACCCCCAGCCATCCTCCCACTCCGCCGTCGGAGTCGGCTTCCGCGCCGCCGTTCCAGCAGCAGCAGCAACCTCCGGGGCGGCCTTGACCTGCCTGAAACCGGTCCCCATGCCCTGCCCGAACGCGAGCGACTTCCTCACCGGGGGCGCCGCAGACGTGATCGCGGCACTAGCACCCCCGCCCTCTCCAGTGGCGGCCGCGAGGCTTCCTGCTGTCGCCGCTGTCCCCGCCAACAGGCCGCCATCATCGCCGGTATCGGCAGCAGCGCCTACAGCAGCGCCGGCGCCGGCGTTTTCGACGACCGCATCCGTATCCGCCGCTCCCGTCGCCGCCGAAGCCACCGTGGGTGCTGCTGCTGCTGCCTTTGCCCGCATGAGGCCTGCGCCGAAGGCTAGCCGACGCCTCGCCGGCAGCGAGGAGGAAGGCGTGGCTGCCTTAGCCACGGGCGCTACGGCAGGGGAGGACGCACCACCTGTACATTTTTGGACATTTACAATAGCGGCAAAGGGGGGTTAAGCACTTGTGTGAGCAGCCGGGGGCGTTGGCGGAATGCGGTCGCCGCGAACACGGGCGCCGCGAAAAAGTACGATCTTGGGTGGGTTTATGGTGGTGGCAATATGGGCGCTCCAGTGCAGCAAGCCTAGTAGGATAGAAACGCCCGATTTCGTGCTGTGCGCACCCGTTGTACCCCGGCTCAAACAAACCCTGGGAGGAGGCAGGCTGCCACCGCTCAGTCAACGTTTCATGTCTGATCCAGTACATCATAATACGCCCAACTCGTGGCCAGTTGTCTTCCCCCCGCAACAGCAAACACTTCGTTCGACTGCGTGGGGTGGCCGCCTCTTTCAAAACAGTCGTGACTGGCTCTGCGTCGCGATTCCCAGAGGTGACGACTACAAGCCACCGAGCGGAACCGGCATCGACAAACCCTACGGGTGTTAAACTAGAGCTGCGCCGAGCCTCTTTGGCCGCACTTGCCGGGAGCGCAAGAACGCCACAGGGGCTGGGGACCACTCGCGGAGCAGTCAACAAAACGTCCCGCGGGTCCGGTGTTCAGCGACTCCTAGCCTACGCCGGGGAGGGGATATGGTCACAACTCAGGGCAGGTCGCCACTGCGGATCAAGCGGCAACTCTGGAGTCGGGCTACAGCAGCGGTGCCCGGCGATTGTTGTGGTCGCTACATATAAGGGCATGTCGCTAAACAGGGGGGATCGCAAAGACCGGGAGCACTACTTGCACCCGCAGGCGAAGAAGACGCCGGGAACGGTTGTTGTTGTTGTTGTTGATGTTGTTGTTGTTGTTGTTGTTGTCTTCACATTTAAGGTCGTTCCGGTCTCTTACAAACAAAAAGCTACCGGCTGCTGCCGCCGTTGTACCAAACAAACTCGCCTTTTGTGAGCTCTGCGCAGTCCTCCAGGGTCAGCGGCGGGCGGGGGTTCCGGCGCATGAATCCCTCGACCACGGGGTATCGCTCGAGAACCTCCTGCACGATCGCCCATGCTTCCGCACACTGCCTAGGGGTGCCCTTGATGGCCACCTAGTAAAGGTGAGGGTAACGGCAAGGGTTGGGACTACGAGCGCACGAAAATGCATCAAAGACGCCATTCGTTGTCGTCAGGGTCTTCTTATCAGGCCAAGTCTAGCGGGCGGCGTCACTGAATTCTTACCGCCAAGGCCTTCAACACATCTTCTTCATGGTGCATGCGCTCGAGTGGTCCGAAGTGTATGTCCCAAGCCAGCTGCATTGCTGCAGGTGGTCTACCATCACCATAAAAAAAACACGGGCAACAAAGAACGCCACCTCCTATTGGCCCGGTGCCCCACACACAAGCGTCGACGGAGACCATCGCAAACCCGTACCACGTGGGTCGAGAGTCGAGGCCGCCATCCAGCCGACAACACCCTTAACACACGAGCCAGCAGCCAGCAGCCAGCAGCCAGCAGCCAGCAGCCAGCCCTTCGACGAAGCAACAGCAGTCTCGCCGAATTCAAGCCAGGAATAATACACCATGCGTTTCACGATGGCCGCGAGGCCCCGGCGTATCGAACGGACACACACACACACACACCGACAGGCGTTGCAGGCCTACCTTGCACACCGCTGGGCCCTCCTTTCGGGGCCACCGCTTGAGGGATGCCGTCAAGGAAGACGTCCCTGTCAAACGGCAGCACTCGCCAGCCAGCCAAGCCAGCCTTTTCTTGTCCAGCAGCGCTTCGGCTTCTTCGGGCTTGATCTGTTTCGTTTTCGCAACAGCGAACGACTTGTCAGATGATGCACACATTACGCTAGGGGGGGGGGGGGCGGGGGGGTACCAATGTAAACGCATGCCGTAGTCGTTAGACCGTTGACTTCGCATCCCTACAACGCTGGGACGGAGCAATATAGCGCGGGAGGTGTGGGGTTGAAGGCACTTGTGTGCGAGCTATTGTAAACACACAGGACCTGTGTAAGCGGCATCAGGCGGAGCTGAGAAGAAGAACAAAGTGCTGCGCGGTTCGCACTTCCTCGTCAACCAAACGCAGGGACCGATACCGATGTTCCGGGGCGATCAATGCCGTTGGTTTCCAGCCGCTTCTCAGGCAGGTATGGAGCGTATCGCGAAGCCAACGGCAAGCCGAACATGCCCGGTCACAAAAAAATAACCGAACGGCGTGTGTGCTTGTCATAAAATAAAAAATAAAAAACGCTCAACACCAATTGTGACACATGTGGCAGGTGAACCACAACAAGTTTGTACTCTGTACCTCATAAATATGTGTGGACAACTCGTCAAGTACCTCAAAATGACACATGTGTGGACAACTACCTCGTCATGTACCTCATAAATTGACGCATGAACTCGATATGTATGTACCTCATGAATTGACACATGAACTCGATGTGTACCTCATTGATTGACACACGTGTGAGACAACGACTACTCGTTACGTACATCATACGATTGGTCTCTCGTGAGAACGTCCCCGATCCCCTCGGGTCTGCGAATGCTCAGCGCCCCCTCCATCGCGCTGTCCATGACGTTCAGCACGGTTGCCTCAGCCTCGTCGGTGTGGAAGCGCACGAGCGCTCGGCCGGCGTGGGCGACGTGGGCGGCGGGCCCGATCACATACATGGGCGGCTCCTGGCGGAAGAGAGGGGAAAAACAATGGAGGTGGTGTACAGAAAGAGGGGAAACAATGGAGGTGGTGTACAGAAGAGTCATCATACAGCACAATAATGACTTCATTGGCATCTTCTTATCGGGGGTGCTCTTTTCTGTGGAAGAGGTCAACTTGTTTGTGATTTTGTGAGGGGATAAAATGAAAAAAATAGTAAGTGGTGGGTGCAACGTAGGCCGGAAGAGAGAGGAGGGCCGACACGTTGACAACGAACATACAAATTCACGACCAAAGGAGCCCCACCAAGAAATGCGCTTCGAAGTGTTTCTGCAGCCTACTGTAGACGGTGCAGCGGGGGTGCCGAACGGTAAGGGTCCGCGGAATGCGACTCCAAGTCATTGGGGTATCTCTATCGAAGCAGACGAAATCGTAGAAGACCAGGAGGATAGTAGACGTCACAAAAGCGCTACGGGGGGGAGGGCAGAAACGGATCCCCTGGCGCTGTACAAGCACGACGCACCCTAGGCGCACACACAGATCGCTACCTAGTCTAGATCACACAAACAAACACTCTCCCTCACCTTGCAATTCGGCGGGTAGTAGTAGGGCTCCAAAATCACCACCTGGAAGGTATCCAATATCTGCCGGTGAACGTCGCGAGGGAGCTTCCGCGAGGCCTTCGTGATCATCACGCTCATGATCTGGCGGGGCCTCTTGACCGGGTCCTCGCTCGGGGGGAGGACCCCAGCAAGCTGGTCATTCTCGACCTTGACGGCTACGACCTCCAGGCCCAGGCGCTCGTCTGCCTCGACCCCGAGGACGCCGCGCCAGTCCTCCCCGTGGCGCTTCCTCAGGTTTCGGATGCCCTTGACCTCCGAGTCGCTGACGTCGGACCACTCACTGTGGCTGTCGTCACCACCGCCGTGATCCGCCGCCGTTGTCGTGTTCCGGGCAGGCGACGCCACGGGCGGGGACGGTGATGGCCCCCTATTCTTCTTCCTCCGCTCTGCGAAGCCGCTCCACGTCAAGGCAGAAACACCCTCGCCCCCGCTAATCTTGAGGCCCTCGACAACACCGCCGCTGTCAGGGATCGTCGCTCTCGCCGCCGCCGCCGCCGCCGCCGCCGGAGACGGGGAGGGCATCCTCTCCTTCTTGCCCTTGTACCCGCGCCTGGGCACGCTGTCACCGCCTCGACCATGATCGTGGCTGCTGTTGTCTCGGCTCCTGTGCCGCTCCCTCCGGCTCCTGCTGCTGCTGTGGCGAGCACCGTCGTTGCGGCCGCCGTCCGACGACAACCCGCGCGGGCGGTCCATGCCGCTCTCCTTCCTCCCGCCGCGAGCCGCCGATCCAGAAGACCCCCGGCATGACGGCGACCGGTGGCGGTTCTCCTCCCTGCTGCGTCTCCTGGTCTTACCGCGGCCTTCCTCGCGGTCCGACTTCCCGCTTGTCCTATCGTCGCCGTCCCGACTGTCCCCTCGAGACTGATCTCGTCTCGGCCTGTCTCGGCTGTCCCGCCGCCGCCGGTGACGGGTGCGAGAGTCGACGATAGAACGGGAGCGAGACCGCCGTCGTGCCGAAGCCGACCGCGACCCCGAGGACGATCGAGAATCATCGCGGCGTCGGCGGTGGCGGCGCCTGCGTCGACTTTCGCTCCTGCTTTCGTCTCGCCGCCCCTTGCGAGACGACCCGATATCCCGGATATCGTCCCGGCTCCTCCTCCTCCTCCTCCGGTCCTCCGACGCCGCCGCCGGGCGGGAGGAACGAGGGGGGTATGGGGACTCCCCGCCCCTGCTCCTGCTGCTCCTGCTGCTGCTGCTGCTGCTACTGCTGCTGCTGCTGCTGCTGCTGCTGCTGCTGCTGCTGCTGCTGTCACGCCGCTGCCGCCGCTCACCGCCGCGCCGTCGCCGTGGCCGCTGCCGGGAATCCCAAGAAGGAGATCGACGCTGCTGTCGGGAGTCGCTACGCTCGCGGCGACGGCCCCTAGATCGGCTCTCTTCGCGGCCTGCCTCCTTGCCCTTGCCGGCCGGAGAGGCCACCGAAGACTGCGACCGGATCGACTCCGCCGCCGCCGCCGCCGTTACCGGTTCGGACGAGCGGGAAGGAGGGGTCGTGTCGCCCTGGCGACGGGGTGAGGGACTGTCGCTCTTCATCGTGTTGCTGCTGACCTTGCCATCAGCTTCCGTTTTACCCTTCCGGCTCGTGGATTCCTTATCCTCGACATCGCCTTCCCTCTTACCCTTCCGGTCCCTATCCTTATCCTCCGCTCCAGAGGAAGTCGAGCGCGTCCGCCGCCGCCGCCGCTCCTTCTCGCCGGGGGAGGGAGTATCGCCCTTTGACGGCCGCGATCTCTCCTTTGGCCGTCCGCCGGAAGATGCGTCATCGCCGTCGTCGTCGGTGGCGTCCTTGCCTCCGTGCGCGGCTTTAGGGCTCACAACCCCCTGCGCCGAGGCCTCTGGTTGGTCCCCGCCTGCCCTCGCCGCCGTCACCGCCCCGTCCTTGAGCGGGGACGCGTTCGCCGCTTCACCCGCGGGTACGACCTCCGCTCCCGTGCCTCTGGAAGCATCGCGGCCGCCGCTTGCCGCGTCCGCCTTCTCAGCGGACCCACTAGCCGCCGCCGCCGCCGCCGTCTTCCCTCCAACCGCCTTCCTCGGCCTACCTCTCCCTCTTTTGACCCCGCTCGCGTTCTCACTCCCCCCGCCGCCGCGCGCGGCGGGCCCGTCCTTCTTCTTGCCGGCGGCGGCCTTGCGTGCCCCCGAGGTCCCGTTCGAGGCGACGGCTGGGGCTCCGCGGATGTTATCCCGCGCCCCTTGCACTCCCCCCAAGCGCAGCAGCATGCCCTCCTCCTGCATCTCGAGGAATGAGAGCTTGACCTTCGCCTTGCTCGGGGGCCAGGACGGCCCGCCGGCCGCCGCCGCCGCTGCCAGCGTCTTGTCGCCGCCGCCGTCGCTTCCTCCTTGTTCTAGGGCCAAGCACTTTTCTTGCTGGGCGGCGATGCGGGCCCTGATCGCGCTCAGCCGGCTGCGCACCGCGACGGCACAAAAGCGGTTTATGGACGAGGATAGTGAGATGAGTGAACACCAGGAGGAGAAAAAAAAAAGCCCGCAGAGATGGGGACGAGGTTGCGCCAGGTCTCGAAGCTACTTTCACGCCGGGGTTTGAGCGGGTCTCAACCCCGCGATCATAATTATCTAGCTCAAGTAACAGAGGAGGAAACCCCCCAAAGCACCAGGCCTTCCCTCGAGTTCTCGGGAAAAGGTATACGGCCTCAACCACGTCGGACATGAGACAAAAACACCAGCGTGGCACTCACCCAAGCAACAGCACCATTCCGTGACAACACTAGCAAGGCAGCCAATCTCCGTAAGCAAGGCCGAGACAACCCCGACCTGCGAACGCAGGAACCCCGTTCCCTACACAACAAACCCACACTCAAAATACACAGGAGTACTTGTGTTTTGTGCTCGCTCTTACCGCTCATCACCCGCCACCTTGCTCTCGCCCGCTCCCGCCACCGCTCCACAGACCTCCGCGGCTAACCTCGCCTGCTCCGCCACGAGCCTCCGACAAGCAACCGGGAGGTTACGCTTGAGGAACAGTCGCTTCGACATCACGATCGCTAGGTCCCTCGCGCTGAGGCGGCCATCGCTGTTGATAGAGCGTATGGTGAACTTCTCGATATTCTGAAGAAGAAGAAAACAACGACAGGAAGGCAGGGGGGCAAAACATGTGTGCTCACAGGGTCGGAGGATCAAAAAGGTTTTCAAGGGGGGCAAGGGGTGGCGAAAAGGGGGGTTCTTGGAGTGCTCTTGGAGTTGCTGCTCATGGCACCGCACCGTAGGCGGGGTACTTCGAACGCGCACCGAGCCGCATCAATCGCCCCTTTAGTGTCAGCCACATTTTCTTGCTTCTGGGCTTTCGAGATCTTCAAGAACGGTGAAGGTCGCTCGCGTCTTTTCCCCGCCCGCCCTTGGGGAGACGGGGGCATAAGATCGTGTTTCATGCTGCCGAAAATTCTCGCGCAGTCATGTCTTGGGTCTGCTCCTTGCCATGTCTCGCGTTCCTCGCTCTTGCTTTTGGGAAGGCACAGTTCGCTGTGCACGGTATGAGAAGGGGACGGTAGCACCACACTCACAGGAGCATACCCCTGCACTCCCTGGTATGCAACAAGAGATACCACCGGGACGTGCCGCAAGCAACACGCGAACGTAAACCCCCACTACCAACACAGTTCCACTACAACGATGAAAAAAACTCCCACTCACTGCAGAGATTTCCGCACCCATCCCCTTCGACTCGTGTGCTACTGCATGTCTCGAAAAGGTAGTCGGTTCTGTGATGGTACGCGCACAGTGTTCTCTAAGCAACAGCGGCAGCGCACCCAGTCCTGCCGCTCGTCAATCCCCGCCATCAGCCAATCGCCCCAACGCCAGAACTACCACGACCATCACCACCACACCCAAAACCAGTGGCAACGCACCTCTGCGTCTTCCGTGTGGAGCCACGCCCGCACAGTCTCCCCCGTCTGCGGATCCTCCAACCTAGGCGCGCCTTTCCGGTTCCGACCTCGCCCACCCACTCCCCCCCCGCCGCCGCCGCCGCCGCCGCCGCCGCCACCTCCCAAACCCTCCTCGCCCTCGCCGTGCTTCGTTCCGAGCGTTTTCACGCAGTTGGGGTGTTCGCAGAGGCAGTCTCTGGCTTCCTCGTCGTACCTAACGTAGCAGTAGTTGAACGTCACCTGTTGGGGCCGGGGGGGGGGGNGGGGGGGGGGGGGGGGGGGGGGGGGGGGGGGGGGGGGGGGGGGGGGGGGGGGGGGGGGGGGGGGGGGGGGGGGGGGGGGGGGGGGGGGAGGGGGGGCGGTGAGTGCGGACGGTGGCGGCCCTGAAGAGTGAGATGCCCTCGGAAGGGGTGTCGCTTTGTGTCTTGCAGCAATGCACAAGCAAGAAGGAGCATGCACTGCTGCGAGAGCGCAAGGTGCTGACGCACGTGCACGCCCCCCGCCGGCAACACGAACATACAAACCGTTCTCGTCTACGACAAAATGCGGCACAAAGTAGTCTGCACGCAGCAATCTCTTCTGTAGGGAAAGTAACCAAAGCACATTCAACCTGGTACGCCTACAACCAATCACACAAAGCAACTTGCCATGGACGCCATATGGGCGTAGACTATGCCCCCGAGTCTCCTCGAGTTGCCCCAAAACCATTTCGACCAACGCCTACTACCTTTCGTTTTCTCAATATCTCACTTCCACCCCTTTCTCGATGACCTCGGTGGCGAACAGCCCGATGCGCCTCTTGCCCTGAATCATCCACTTCTGCGTCTCGGCATTGGGGCCGCAGCTATGGTTAACGAACCTCAGGATGCTGCCCTTCTGGCTAGCGTCGATCACCTCGCTCTCGCCCAGGTCCATGACGAACTTGTGCTTCTCGTCCGCATGGAGGAGCGCCTGCCGTGCCAGCGCAAGGGATGTTTGTTCTTGCTTCTGTAAATCCCAGGCTTGGCCCACGTGCTAGTGCGAGAATTAACAAAAGGGCGCGAAGGGCGCGTATCTCGACCAGAAAAAAGAAGAGAGCGCGCGGGGTATTTGTCTCATCTGCATCCTGTATGTGGTCCCGTGCACCCGAATAACGCAAAAGGTGTAAGAATTGACGTCGGGACGAAATCATATGCATACACACAAAACGTACAAGGGGCGTACCTGATGACGATGCGCCTCCCCCAAAACCAAGACATAAAACTAGAACACACGCACAATGCTTCACTTGATCGGATACGTGCGACAACTGGCACGAACAGCACTGCCTTCAATGGAAAAGAACGGGAAAAAAACAAGAGAGACCGAACGATGTCTCGGCAAACGGAAGCCGGCGGCTTAAGTCCAGGACTAAGCGTACCTGGCGCGCCTGCCAATCATCCTCCGACATGACCTCCCCGACGTATTCACCGATCAGAGCCCCCGCCGGAATGCGCGTCTGGATTCACAGGCGGTAAGAAACACATACGGCGGCGAAGCAAAAGAAACCGGGCAGACAGACAAAACAGCGGGGAGATACGTTGATGCATCTTCTCTTGCCTGATGCCTACAAACAGTTTAATGTTCTGGCAATAGCGGGGAGTCCTAAACGCGAAGCGATCATGCTCTGTCGTGTGTCGTATTTCCGAGTCCTCGCTCGCCTATCCCTGCTAAGACCGTTTGTGTGCCCAACCACTCTCCGATTTCTCTCAAGGCCATATTCTGTCGTATGTCGTGGTTGCCATGCCGTAAGACCATCAAGGCTCGTTTGTGAGATCCCAACAAGCGAAGCAACGTCGTAGCTTTCACTACCAACCAACGTGCACGGTAAGATGGACCCTTGCTTCTATTGGCCGGATCACGTCGATACCCGGATCTGTACGCCGTCCTCTACGTACCTTTGCCACCAGCCCGATGCCTTTGGGGCCGACGTCCTTGATGCACACCTTCCTCCTCATGTACTCCTGCTTGTACCTCTGAATCTTCTGCTCGACAGCGACGACGTCCAAGACGTCAGTATAAGGATTGGAAATACGAAGGGAGGGTGAGAAACATACCGGAGTCGTGTTTGCCTCACTCAACACACTCTCTGGCCATACGTGTCGCCTGTAGGGATAATAGTTTGGTAAAAGTCTGAGTGGGTGCTTGTTGAAACACAAACAAAAAATGACACGTAAAAGGAATTGGCGCAACCAAGGAGTGTACCACACCGGAACACACCGCACGCCACAGCCCATCACCACCAACAACAATATAGCAAACGACACGTACTTTAGCAAAGCGCTGCAGAGCAGCCCTAAGAGAATAACCTGGAACAAGCTTTCATACGTCACACACGATACACAATAGCAAGCTCGCTGAACACTACGTGAAAGAGAAAAACACAAAGTAGGCGAAGAAAACAAGACAAACACACACAAAAACATAAACGGTTAGTGCAAGAGCTTACCCGGTTCCCGCACACGCCCTTGCCCCCCAGCCCGCACGTGCGCTTGGTGCACTCCTCAAAGGTGGCCCTGTTCGAGCACGCCTCCGTGCACCCTGCCGTGCCATCGGATGGCGGGACGCACCCGCAACGATGCCCCTCCGCGACGTCCTTTGCCGGCGGCTTCGGGGCAAGCAAGGTTAAGGGGGGGGG